CTTCTTCTTTCATCATCATCATCATTATTATCATTATTATCACTATTATTATCATTATTATCATCATCATTATTATCATTATTATTATTATTATTATATCATTTCATTTCTGACTATCTCTTCTACCTTTATCTTTCTTCAATACTCACTGAAATCAATCATATCATCTCTCTTCAAATATTCTGCAGTTCTGTGAATCATCAAGATGTGTGAGTACTATCACAGATTGAAGAAAGAGAAGAAGAAGACATTTAAGTAAAAAGAGACAGATTGTAAGACATATTATAATATCTTGAAGAGACTCTGTAAAAGAGTAGAATAATAACAATTTTAAGTAACACTTCTGATAGATTTAGACTGAACTAAGTATAGAAATAATGCAGATGATACTGTCTGTAAAAGATTGAAGAAGAAGATAGTGAAGAATTTTATACAGTAGTGATGAGATCAGAAGAAGTTCTGAGAATGATTTAAGATCAAGATAAAAAGAGAAAGAGAGAAGAAGAGTATTACTGTAAATAAGTAACAGCAGAAGAAGATTGAGAGAGTATTAAAGTAAGAGATAAAGAAGTTAAAACTGATAAATTTTTTATTTATTAAGAGATAATAATTTTTGATAACACTTCTGTTGTCTAATTGATTAGTAGAAGCTGATAGAGAAGAAGAGAATTAAGACCTTGTTCAGGTCTTGAATGCACTTCATAATTCAGAATATTAAGAAAACAGCTCTGCTCTCTGAGTATATCAATCTACTTACTGCTGAGATGAAACCTGAGACAGCAGATCAGAAAATGCAGGATTTTGAGATACAGATTGACCTGGCTGAGAGAAAGCAGTAGAAACTCTTCTCTAAGAAGATAGTGAAGAGAGATTTTGAGATAATTATCATCTCAGATAAGAAGAAGAAGAAGAAGAAGAAGAATAAAAAGTGAATTATAAAGAATGATAAAAAGAATAAGAAAGAGTAGAAAGATAATAAGTAGAAAAAGTTTTTTTCTTTTTATATTAATTAGTTATAAGTTCATAATTATTAATAATTGAAATTAATTTTGAGTTTTTAAAAATTATTGTACAAGTTGTAATCAAGTCAGAAATAATATATATATATATATATATATTTAACTATCATGATTCACAAATCACTATAATATATAAGTATCAACATTTTTTAAACATTGATATTCATAATATTAATATATTTTTAATAATATTATTTAATAATATAATTTAATAACACTCTCTTTCACAATATTAATATATTTCAAGAAATATGACAGAGATTAATCAAGATTATTTATTTACTTTTATATATTGATGATATTCAATCTGAGTTAGTACTAAAATTATAACTAAGCTAAGAAACAAGATTATTTTCTTTTATATTAATTCTTCTTACACACATCAGTGATCAGTTATTGAAAATAAATTATCATCTTTCTTAAATTATTATTATATCTTCTAAATTCACTTCTTTCACTTCTTTTACTTCTATTAAAGATTCATAAACTCTTCAAGAAATCACTGTGAATTACAAAGTCTATGTTATTTATAATTCAACACAGAATACTCTCTTTCAATTATAATGAATAATCACTTCATTCTTTATATCTGATTCCAGGTCATGAAATTTATGAAAAACTCAATATAAATACTGAGATGAACTATAAAATAATTATTAATAGATTATATTATAGATTACTGAAGAGTTATCTCTCTACTATAATTACTGTAACTTCATTCAGAAATATTTATCATAAACTGATTATGACTCTGAAGGAATTTTCTGACATCTGAAGTCATCAGAATGTAGATAATAAAAGAAAAATAATTAGAAAATTACTACTGAGCTGATAAGTTACTCTATCAGATAATAATTTTTGATAACACTAACTTTCTAATTTGAAGAAAATCATGTAAAAACAATCATATATCAGTACTCTGATTTCATAACTCTTATCTGATAACTTCTATGAATAATTACTTTATATATATATATCTCTGAATCTTTCTCTTCAATCAATTGAAAACTCTGAATTCTGAACACTTCTTTAAATACTTAATTCAAATCTTTATATTTCACATCAATTCTGTCTTCAGTTCAATCTTGAGATACACTACAAAGTTAATATATAATATCTAGAATCAGAGTTGAAGAATCATTGAAGAGTGTCTCTTACAGTGAATACATGAACTAGTATAAATAATCTTACATTTATAAAAGTTATATGTTATTACATTGATGAGAACTGAACTTATTAAGAGACATTAATTGAATTTAAATCATTAATCAGTAGTTATACTGAGAATTATATAACAGAGATATTAATAACTGTGATTAAAAATGATTATTGAGACATTAGTCTCAGTCTTCTTACAATTATAACTGATAATACTGTGAATAACTACACTATGATAAAGAGCTTGAAGCAAAAATTGACTTTGTATTTCTGAAATAATAAATAAGATTATATTTTCTGCATTGCTTATATAATTCAACTTATGATATAAATACTGATAAAGAATCTTAATATTAAGATGAAGAATAATAAGATAACTGATTCTTAAGATGAGAATAAGATGAAAGTGATTACTTAAGTAACTTTTACATTCACTTTACAAAAGATAATGTTTTTTAATAACACTTTTTAATATTGCTTTTTAATAATACTTTTTGATAATACTACTGTTAATTTTGAATAGATTGACTAATAATTTAAATATCACAGATTTGAAATATTATTAATACAATTTGTATCTTCTTTAAATAATAATAATGATTTCATAATATTTAATAAATAAATAAATCAGTTATATCACTGAATATGATACAGAATGTTAGAATATGATAAAGTTCAATATATAAGATAACTGTTTAGACTCTTCAATTGTATCAGATGATTGATTATTAAGTATAATACTCTGATTGAGAAAAGATTCAGATATTAAAACTTTCTGATATGAAGTGAACTTAGTTAAAATATATGATTGATTTACTGTTTCAGTTTTATAAGATAATAAAGACAGTCTCAATCACTTGTATATTAATACTGCAGTCAGTCTGATAAATGTATAACAGTTTATTTACTCATCTTAAGAAGCAGTTGAATTACTTAAAAAGAAATTCAGTCTGAAATAATACTATAGTGCAGGCTATTATTACTGTAAGAAATAAACTAGTATATTACTACAGTAAAACTGAACAATCTTTTACAGAGTACTATGCTATAGCAGCTCTATTAAATCTCTCTTATCAAGTTAATATCTACACTTCTCAAGATTGAATAGAGAAGAAATGAGACTTATATATTAAATTAGTCTGAGACTACTATAATATCAACTATCAGAGATTTGAATAAGTAGATATTCAAAATATAAAGACAGTGAAATATAATTCTCTAGTAGATAACAATCTTTGATAATACTTCATATTATATAGAACTATAATACTAACTTTAAAACAGAACTTATATACATTAATTGCAACTGAAAATCAGACAAAACTATATACTTATAAAACTGAATTTAACTGCTATCTTTAAGATAATTCAATGAATTTACATATTAAATCAATTCTAGAGTTATAAAAAATTGTTGAAGTACATATTCAACTGTTATATTAATAACACATGATATTCTGACAATTTCATTGACAGAGGTGAGAATGAAGTGAAAGTTCAACTCAAGTTAAAATATTTATCACTATCACTGAGAACAATTATAAGAAGAAATAATTAAGAAACTCATAATTATAAAACATGAAATTATCAGACAGTTTAATATCTCTGATTATAGTATATCAGAGAAGTGTAGTTTTTATAAGAAAGTGAAGAATAAACTTATACAAGAATGTATTTAGTTATTTCATAAGTATTATTAATAATTATTACTAAATTCTGATTATATAAGCAATCACTTAATGAACTGAATGAAACTGATTTTAATCTTCAGTCTCAGTTCTATTCTGATTTTGAAAGAATAATCATCTTTCACAGTTTATTCTGAGAAATTACTCTCATTTCACTGTTCTTGAATTAAATCTGGTCATTTTTCATGCCATTTCTCTCAGAAATGGTTCATTTTCAGATTTTTTTGAGGCTTGGTCCTGGTGAGACTCACATCAAGAAATGTATGAGACCAGACCAAATGAGATTAAATGTGAAATTCATGATCCCGCCGGCCAGTCTAATCAGAGATATTACACTATCTGATAATTTCATATTTTATAATCATGAGTTTCTTGATTATTTCTTCTCATAATTGTTCTCAGTAATAGTGATAAATATCTCAGATTGAGTTAAACTTTTACTTTATTCTCATCTCTATCAATGAAATTATCATAATATCATATAGAATCGATCTTTGAGGGCTACGACGGCCGAAAGTGGAAGGTGGTTACGCTGCTTTCGGCCGCTCTGGCACCGCGGATTCGCACCCACTCTAAGAAACACTATACCTATTCTGGAAGTCATCAGTCGCCGCTTTTTGAGAACCCATTTACGCCACGCCCCATCTCACCTTCTGCTCGCGCGACTGCTCGCGAACCGCTCACCCTGTCCCATTCACTACATTCCCTCATTCGCCCAGCTAGAGCGCACCGTTCCTAGCGCTCAACCCTCCAAATATGATGGCCCCCTAGATAGTCATGGCCTCCCCATTCTATAAATACCATCATGTCCCCCTCCTCAGGTTGCCGTTGGTCCTTTTCGAACCATTATACGCATGTTACCAGTCCCTTCTCCTCTCCGTCCCATTTCCTCTGCAGACAGCGTCCCCCTCCCTAGAATCTCTTTTCTATCTACCTACGTATCAGCGACAGTCTCACGCGCCCACTGAACGGTATGACGGTTGGAAGACCCAGAGTGCCGAAAGCTGGCAGGTCACACACGGCAGGTCGACAGCATTCACCCAGAAAGCCGAACTACACAGCCATATTGAAATGACATGAGGCCGCTGGCCGCACATCCAGAATTTACTCTGCAAATGCTGAGAGAGACAGAGGGATGGTCCAGTGGAAGCTTCAGCGGTAAGTGTTGATCTGTGTGAGGAAATTGAATTAACCTTCTTACAGAGACCAGCTTCTGCTCTGCTGAACTCAAGACTACAGAAATGGAGTTCTTTGAGAATCTGACAGCAGGCTGAGTCAAGACATATTTTGACTGGCTCAAAAACACCCACTGAAACAGCATCAAGGCAGCATCAGCCTTTGACGGTTACTGGCAGCTTCTGAAGACCCTGTATGTGGAGCACACCGGTCATGGTATGGATGATGAGATGGCACAGGATTGTCTGAATGTAGGACCATCAGAACTACTGATATGGCTCCAGCTGACAGGCTCCCTACACAGTATAAGAATGTCGTGATCAAGCAATGGGGTCTGCGGCGGCGACCGAAGAGAAAGCCGTCCGGCACCAAGGATGATGTGTACCACATCCTCCATTCCCATTGAACGCGGTGCACGAAAGCCTATGCTGATGAGAAACAGCGACACTACGTTGCTACAGGTATCCTCCTGTCCTTCATCTCCGGTGCGAGGCTGGTCTCGCTGTTCGACACCCGGATCAAAACAATTGATGAGAAAGCCGGATACGGACCGTCAACGGGAGCGTCGCACACAGCCCACAAGGACTCAAAGAGCAGGACTGACCGTCGCCGTCACCGTCACCGTCCCCGAGGGACAGGGTCCCCCGACCTCTACTCGAAGGCGGGACCCCGGATCGGCCAACACGATAACAGACCCATAGCACCCGTAGCACCAGAGAAACGCAAGAGGGCTCATTCCGATGACGACGAGGAATATCGCGATCCAAAGATGGCACGAATCATGGCTCCTCGGAGCTGTCGCTCCGCCCGAGAAGGAGCATCCTGCAGCAAATACGGGATGCCCGGTGAAGACATTATGTTCGATGCCCAGGATAGCGACCTCGATAGCCATGGGGGCAATGATACGGACTTTGACTCAGGGTATGTTGATGAGGAAAGTGACAGCTCTCGCAGCAATTCCTGTGAACCCATCTTTAGTGAGCCCGTGCAAGAAAACGATACCGACACCAAATCAAGTATGGGGTCAGTGAAAAGCGGCTCCACCAGCGGTATATCTGCTGGCAATGACCTCAGTGAACTTGACCGCTTCATAGATGACGTGACAGACAATGAGTATGATGCTGGCCCTGAGGAGACTGGGGCTCTTGTCTGGCAGTATATCGAATTCCACATCATCCAGAGCCCCTTGGCTGGCCGGCCAAACATTCTCCTGGCTAAGGTCACACTTCTTCACACGAAGGGTGAAGACAAGAAGCCGCGAGTGTAAGGTGAATGCAACTTCTCTCCTCTCAAACCCTGTCTTGTTGTAAGCTTCAATGACTGACTGACACTGCAGGAAAACATTTGTCATCAGTCACAATCCGGAGCCGCTCCTGGACCTTCTGAGGCATCTTCTCTTCATGGCAATACATGATGAGATCTTCGCCCCTGAATTCAAAAAGCTTGAAGATATCTACTGATATCCCATCCCATCGCACCGAGGCGGTATGAATCTAAAGATCAAGGCAAAGATGCTGGACATGCCGGTTTTTCGCCAGCCCGAACGCACGGGGAATGAATATCGAACATCAGAGAGAACACCTCTCAAGGCGTCTACATGGAGTGGCTACCTCAGGCACCTTGGCCCGGTGGCCGGGCTCAAATATCGTCTGACCCAGTACGTCTGGCGACGTTCTCTCATCAACGCCATCAACAGTATGTGCCTCCCTCTCATTGGTCCCTGTCGCGCCAGTGCTCAGCTTCGTCATTCTGTTCCTTCTCGCTTTTATCCTCTCTTTCTTTCCTTCCCCCCTGGCCATCATACAAGAATTTTTTGCTGACCTACCGGATCCGCAGACAGAGCTCCGTCTTCTGTTCGGGATCAAGTCGCCGACCACGAAACCAACGCGGTACGGTACTATCTAGACACGATCATCCGGTTCGATCTGGAAGCCGCGGCCATGGAGCTGCCATCTAATGATGTGGTTCAGAAAGCAGCCCATGGGCTGTTCTTGAACACTGACACCACCGCCCTCACAGAACTTACAGATGAACTGAAAAGAAAGATCACTGACAACTCAAAGATTAGAGAACTTGCTGAGCAAAGTAAAGAGCTGACTCAGAAGCTCAGGGCAATGAGATTTCATTCTGTGCTGGCAGCGCGGGGCAAAACTCCACTATACAAGAAGAAGATGAAGGCAGTTTCTCAGTTGAACTGCAGCAAAGTTTATCTTCACTCCAAGCTTATCAAGTGACAGAGACAGTGACACTTTCAGCATGCTGATACAGAGTGATTCAACCAGCAATTCTGCAACAGCATGACTGATAAGTCTCTGAATGAGTGTCCAGCTCCACCATCACTTCAGATCCTGGAACAGAGATGGATCATTGAGCTGATGTGTGCTGGCACTCAAAAACTGACTGAGGATGAGCAGTTCGCGCGCTGGTGTGCATGCATCATTGTCTGGTTCAAGCTGCAGTGTCAGAAGCAGATTCAGCATCAGGGTCATCATAAGAAACAGCAGCCGCCCCAGCAAGATTTCCAACCTGACCCACCCCTAGACACCATGTGAGTGAAAGAATCTATTCCAGTGAAGCTGGGTGAAAAGCAGTGCTCATTCTGCATCACTGATACCTTGTTGTCTTGGAGAGAGTGGATGAAGGTTTGAGAGTGCATGAACAAGTTCTGGAATCATATTGAGAGCATCCACTGTGAGCAGCTGGAGGTGTACTCCTCCGGACAAAAACACTGCAGGATCTGTAAAATACAGGGCATCACCTTCATTCCACCCTGCCTCATGGAATTCAAGAGTCATACTTGGAGTGTACACGGCCCCCGTCTACGTCCATAGGTTTTAACAGGGGACGTCTGATGATTAAACCATATCTCTTTATTATTTCTAATCTTTCATTACTTTTAATACTTTTGCTACAAAGTGCCTATAAATCTAAATGACAACCGGAAGTGACAGAGCTGTACTGCAGCCAATACATAAACACAGATTATTCGCTGCCACCAAAGACCCTAGAGGGAACTACAGCGACGGATCACGGCCATCCACGCTGTCAGTGCATACTGCGGTGTTCGCCCAAGTACAGGATGCTCGCACAATCTGCGACACGCGTCGGCACCGGTGAACCCGATGCCCCGACTGACTGTCTGTCACCGAGCTCCCGACCATCTTGGTTTCCGCCGGGCAACCAGGGCGAGGAGGCGAATCATCAAAGTGGGGGTTTATTGTGTGCCTGGAGATCCCCGTTCGTCTCACAGATCATTCACAATTCCTCACGTCCTAATCTACCTTTCTGTTTTCTTCTGCATTTGATAACAGATAAACTACTGTGGCTTAGGAACAAGTGGTTATATGCTATTTATTTACTCCATCTTCACAGTAAATTTGCTGTATTTGTATATTGTTTTGAATTAGATATGTTTTACAGCACTAGTCAAGCTACGGTGATGTTTTCTACCCAATAATTTTAATTTTGCTTGTTCTACCCTCTATTTCCACAATGTGAAGTACTCTATACCATCCTTCATTGCCTACAAATGCCAAGTTGCAGTTGGCTCGCTTCTTAATCCATTCCAGGCTTCATTCCGTAAATGAATTCAGGCTGTGGCATTACACCCTGGAGCTCTGAAGAATAGGGATTTTTTCCCCTAGGAATGATATCTGCCATGACCAGGGGCTACTCTGAAGAATAGGGGTTTTTTCCCTAGGGCTGCACGGAGTGAATGTCGCTCTCGTCCAATTGCCCGGCGCCACGTACCAGAGTTGTTTCAAAAATACCCAACCCTGAAATGGGGAAAAGCTCTGGGAAAAGCGACCACACATTTGATCTAACGGCGCAACCTGGTAGTAAATTAGGCATCAGCTCTCCGGCTTCAAAAAACCAATAATAAATTTTAGAATCGCTACCTCCTTCGCTATCTTTTACTTCTACCTAGCACAGCAACTTAGGAGAATCATCATTCATGGAAACCTCCTGAGCGCGTACATGACATCATCTAGGGGCTACCTTTTTGACCGTTAAAGCTTAGCTGTTTCTTGGCGTGTTGGTGCGGCTTGCCTGCGAAAAAGCGATTTTGCAGTTTTGCAATTTTGCATTTTCACTTTTTAGCGTTTTGTACGCAAGCCAGCAGGAGATTTGGGTCAACATACATGATTCGATGGGCGTGTATACTGTGGCGCTTATGATCTCTGCCGATGGAGGCAGCCATAACTCAAATAGCAGGTTATTGCAGCAGAGATGATTTTTCCATATTATGTAACTTTACGTAGACTAAAGAGAGTCCTCCAGCTCATTCTTGAAAGCCAATCCAACAATACATCTTGAAAGCAAATAAGGTTGTAAAAGGGAGTGAAATGAAGAGATGACTAAAGGATACGCATAAAATTAAGGAAAGGTCTAATGACAGCAGAAGCCCAGCACAAAGAAGTAGCATTAGTAGTCTGGCAGGGTTTTAGCGGACAGTTCTACGTATCTGCCGAAATCCGTGTCACGAAAAAAGGAGCAGCGCCAGGAAAAGAGCAACTCCAGGACAAGGGCAGCTCCAGGACAAAAACTGTCCCAGGACAAGAGCAGCTCCAGGACAAGAGCAACTCCAGGACAAGAGCAACTCCAGGACAAGAGCAACTCCAGGACAAGGGCAGCTCTAGGACAAAAACTGTCCCAGGACAAGAGCAACTCTAGGACAAGAGCAACTCTAGGACAAGAGCAACTCTAGGACAAGGGTAGCTCCAGGACAAAAACTGTCCCAGGACAAGAGCAGCTCCAGGACAAAAACTGGGGAAGTACAGAAATGTAGAAATGAAGATATGATAAAATTAAAAAGGGCAGAAATCTAGCAATCCAGATCGTTGTAAAGGAATATTAGCGTTCACGTGAAAATACGGTGTGGATTTTCTGGGGCGCGTTATCCATGACTAGGACAGATTTGGTTCTGGCCACATCATTCCACCACTCGGCCAGGACATTGCAAATTTGCTCTGATGCTGGGGTGAAACTACTTTACCACCCTGTTCACCAAGTCTAAATCCAATAGAGGAATTCTTTGCTGAGTTCTTACAACCACTCTGTTAAAGACAAATCAGAAAAATGCTGAGCGATTGAAGTGAAATTGTAATAGAGCAGGTTGGACTGGTTGCGGGTCAACTCAGAGCGTTTTGAATCAGACCACCCTCATTGGTTGGTGTAAGTTGTGAGATTATCAAGCAGAGTATAATGTGAATGAGAAGCTCCATCTCATCTCTCTCATCAACTTGGAACGGCCCAAACTCCTGAATTCGAAGAAAGTGTTTTTTCCCCCTTTGAGTAACAACAGGTACATCGCCAGGGCTAAAAATGTAGTCAAGGTACTCTTTGTCGTAAGTCCCAATGCTAATGTAGAAGGACAGGAAATCTTGTGCAATCATGAAAGTATGGTAAGTTCCGGGGTTCCTCGGCTACACAGAGGTATTAGCCGTCAAAACTTCCTTTGAGGGAAACGGGAGGGAGAGAAAATTCACCAATTGATCATTTTTGTGTCGTTTCCAGATATATGCAACATGCTCCATTGACTGCTGCCCCACAACAGTAACACCTTGGCCAGTTTCACGACGGGCACGCTTGGCTTCGAATATCACCATTTCAGGAAGATTTTTGTCCGGAGGCAGGCTGAAGGGGATGCTCCCGTCTATACGTGCTCGGAACTGTACATGATTTGAAGCGATCGGACCATTCGGAAGTGGGCCAAATTGATAGGTTGTCTCAAAGGCATTAGCCACGCAAACAGTCCGGTAAGCAAGGGGCTGTAAAAGGCATGCTAAACCCCCGAGAAGATTGACCATAAAATCGACCACCAGAGTCTCAGTAGGAGTCCGTGGGTCCGGGATGTCATCCGGAATTTCGTCTAAGGTTTCCTCTGTTAGTTCAATGTTAGGCGGAGTAGGAGGCTCGCTTGGAGCCGGATGGTCATCGATGGCATCAAAATCTCCTAGGCGCAAGCGCTTAGGGTGCCTGGGGGTCGGAGAATCAGGAATTTGGCCTGATGAACTTTGAGAAGCGTTGTAATGCCCCTTTCTTGGCGCGTAAGTTATAGGGAGAGGCTCCTCTCTTGGAGCAGTATGCAGTCCTTTGTCTAGAATTTGCCTTTTTAAACTAACAAGCATTGAGAATGGGCCTAGTCCATCTGCAAGCGTGCATAACCATTCACGAGGTGTCTTTGTTTGGGAACAGATGACATCAAACAGAGTGTCTAACTTGTCGAGTCCGAGAAGTTTCCTATTGATAAGCTTTGTAGCCTGGGCAACATGTTCGTCACTGAAGTACGACCCCGTCCTGAGAATATATGGTAATGCATCCCCAACAGCCATCACTTCTGGCCAAATGCATCGGACAGTGAGGAAGGCTTCTTTAGGCACTGTTGACGCAGAGAAAGAACCTTATCCCGGAGAAATAAAGTTAGGGAATGCTGCTAACTTCTGTTGAAGTACTTGAGGGGCCTACCATAGGAGCACAAGTCCTGGAGTTTGGCATTGACCAAGCTATACGTTGTGACCATTTCAAGCCACTCCTGCTCAGTGGATGGGATCTTATCTAGGCCATCAACTGCCTTCCGCCTCCGTCTGGGAAGCTCCGCCATTTCGAAGAATAGACGCGCGAGTGGGTCGGTTAGGAACAAGGCACTGTAGGACTAGGTTGAAGGTAAACGTTAGTATGGAGTTTGAAGGACCCACAGTTGCGAAGACTAGCGACCTTTTTCAATCCCGCTTATACTTCAGAAGAAAACGTACTTACTGATATAGAATCCAATGCCGGAATGTGCGCAGCCAAAAAAATGGTGAAAAGTCGCAAGACAGTAAAAGGTGATAGAGCGGATTAGTTGCTAGTATTCGAGGCAGGCTACAGCGGTCTAACGACAATAGGTTGGGGTCACGTGCCAAAGTGGTGTGAGAGGCAAAAGCAGATGAAGCTTGCCTTGGATCGACGACTTCAGCGTCACGTCAAAACATCAAGCGTCGACTATCATGGAATGCGTCAACTTCAAGCCTTTCTCAGACCCGCATGAGTTCAGTGAACTGATGTGTGCACTTTTTCACATGTATAGATCAGAAACTCCAGATCTGTTCTCCTTTGACTGGCTGCAGAAAACATTGGATTTGGAAGTGGTTTGCAAGGACACGACAAAGGAAGAGGTTGGGATTTCAACCCCGCCGAGTCTTGAACGAGCTATCCGGAAATGTGCGAGGATCAACTCCCCAAATTCCCCGAATTTCCTCTGCCCGCCCGCCGACTATAGTTGGACTGGTTGGATGGGATTAGCTATCGATGACTTGAAAAAAGAAGTTACAATCAAAACTGAAGCAAAGTAAGAGAATAAACAGTTTTCCTTAACTCTATTGGTCTACGTTGTGACTCTTTGTGACTTACCGTCCCTTTTTCCTACAGGTGTGATGGTCCATTGTTTTCCATCCTCGGTCAAGGCTTGGCCGCTGACGGCCACCGCCGCGTTCTTGCGCATCGTCTCTTTCGACATAGGCCAGATCACTGGGGCATTATGATCCGAGATCACTCACCGTTGAACCAGCACAAGAGCTGTAGGGATTATCTTCTTCGAAGTGAAATAATGGGAATCACTTCGATCATATACCGCCAGATGAATGAAGTACGCTGGGACCCCTCGAAATCCAAATATACGGAGCCGGAATTAATATACTCGGGTGGTCCTTTAGTCGTATGTTCATCGCCCATTTCTCCTCCTTTTTAGATGGATGCAACGCTGACATTCTTCTTGGCCACGGTTGTGACCTTTATTCCCGGCAAAGTACGGGTGGTTCAGGCGACTTGCGATCCGTCAAACGCATCCACCTCCCTTACGTTCGCACTGAGAGCTTTTTATAATCTTAGCATGTCTTGCTATGACAAGACCACTGCTCAGAAGGTTCTGAAATGGGTTCTTTGCCCGCCAAACCCGGCTCAGGGTCCGTGGAGAGGAAAGACAGCATAACTGCTCTTTTCAGGTCACGCTTATTCTTAAAAACTGAGGAGTGCAGGCAAATGATGGTGTTATTAATACGAACGCATGCAATTATCAGCAGTTAATACCCCGCTCCCTCCCCCCCTCTCCTTTTTATGATTAACATTCCTGTTTTTGTTGGCTTTGGTTGGCATGTTCTCCTGTAGGGTAGAAGCACCGCAATTTCACAAGTTTACTTGGATGTGCCTCATAATTGTCTGAAGTTATCGTGTCGCTCTGGATCATTTTCCACATGGTCTTACTGATGAAAATCACTGAACATTCTCAGGACCCACGCTTTTAAGCAAGAAAAGATGGCGCTGAAACTTTACTATCGAAGCTTGACAAATTCGTGCTACAGTATACAGTACTCTCAATCATACCACTGTGTTTTAATACGCAGCAACATCACCACTTTCTTTATCCGGGCACCAGTGCAAGTCGTTCTTCAGCAGCTTGGAAAGTGAATACACCTCGCCTTCATCGGTCATGCAGCTCCCAAGAACCGGCTTAGGAGCGCTCAAGGTCGGTCGAGGAGGGCAGCCGCAATTGCCTTCTGCTATCTTTTGGTCCCCGTCCGGTTGACAGGTACGGCGGTGCGTTAGCTGCCAGTGAACTTCGGCAACAGAGTAATTCAGTACTTCATTTCCGTATGCTTTGCACGCCTCGATGTGCTTTTCTTTGTTTATATGCAACATCTCGCGAAATAACTCTTTTCTTTCCTTCTTCTCCTCTTCTTCTTCTCTTTGGTTTTAAATACTTGACTATTGCGCTCTATTCGTATGTTAGGTCAAGTAGCATTCTCTTTAAGCCTAGCTGTCACTGGGATTCCCTGGTTCATGAAATGAATAGACTCAGTCTATCAGTAAGATGTTGATTTGTGTTTGCTTTGTTGTTTGCTCTACTGTTTCTCTCTGTTCTCTCTATTCTCTTTGTGCAGGTCAAGGAATTTTAAGAGACTCTCAGTTCCCTTTCACCTAGTTATAGCTACGAGCGAGTGTTGTGCTTCATTGAGCCAAAAGTCGTTTTTTAAATGTGTACTTCTGTCAGATGTGACTAGTCGCTTTGTCGCGGCGCTTGCATGCTTGGGCCACGATCTGCGATCTGAAACTGTGGCCTATTCGAAATCACACCGTGCAGAAGATGAAGATGATGATGATGATGATGATTATTCCTTTCCCCTTTCAGCTTGGTGGCTACGCAGGGCTACAACTAAGTTCTAATATACATTCAGACAATGGGCGTGGTCATCTTTTAGCTCTTGATCAGTTGGAATGGTCCTAAGTGTTAACGGTTAGAATGTTGAGGGTCCATTTGTTCTCAAGGGTACGTTTCTCGAGCGCCAAGTTTCTTCATCGGCTACGCGGCTGGGAATGGCACCTCTCGTCGGTTTGGGGCTTGACCGTGCAGAAGATGGAAGTACACAAATGTAGAAATCGAGATTGCAGGAATGCAAAAATTGAAACACGCACTTCCATACGCCAAGAAACGGCTAAGCCTTGCTGCTTGTGGGATGTGGAGGTGCCGTATTGATTGTTAACCAGGTACGATGAGATGCATTGCGCTAGTCCGTAATAGGGATCGAGAGCCCAAACGGGTACCTCAGCTTTAGCCGCTAAGAAGCGGCGCAGCTGGTTCAATATGGGAAGAACTGCTGAGAATAACGCCAGCGCGATTCTGTTTGTCCTCACAAAACTTAAAGCATATAAGAACCCATCCAAGGAAAGGTCTACAACATGAGAAAGCTCAGTGCAAAGATATCATTCTGGGTCTGTAAATTTAGAAAAGTTCTCAAGACAAATGCGGGAATTGTGCTGGAGCAGAAATTATGCTGAGGCAGTCTTTTTTCTGTGCTGGCACTGCTTTGCCAACGACTCGATAGAAGATCTAGAAGTGTGACGTCGGATGGCCTGCAAAGCTGGAGTGGCCTTCGTGAGGAGAAAAGGGGAGATGGAGCGATAGAAGCAAAGCGGGAGGAAGGCTGGCTTTATATGCCTTCAGACCCCTGGTCTACGTTAATTGTCCTCCTGTGACCATGAAAGACCCGATTCGTTAGTGATGATTATAACCTGGGTTCCAGCAGTCTCCCTAGGCCAGCAGTCTCCCTAGGCCAGCAGTCTCCCTAGGTCAGCAGTCTCCCCAAGCCAGAAACCTCCCTAAGCCAGCAGTCTCCCTAGGCCAGCAGTCTCCCTAGGCCAGCAGACTCCCTAGGCCAGCAGTCTCCCTAGGCCAGCAGTCTCCCTAGGCCAGCAGTCTCCCTAGGCCAGCAGACTCCCTAGGCCAGCAGTCTCCCTAGGCCAGCAGTCTCCCTAGGCCAGCAGTCTCCCTAGGCCAGCAGTCTCCCTAGGCCAGCAGTCTCCCTAGGCCAGCAGTCTCCCTAGGCCAGCAGTCTCCCTAGGCCAGCAGTCTCCCTAGGTCAGCAGTCTCCCCAAGCCAGAAACCTCCCTAAGCCAGCAGTCTCCCTAGGCCAGCAGTCTCCCTAGGCCAGCAGTCTCCCTAGGCCAGCAGTCTCCCTAGGCCAGCAGTCTCCCTAGGCCAGCAGTCTCCCTAGGCCAGCAGTCCTCCCTAAGCCAGAAACTTCCCCAAGTCTTCCTTAAGCCAGACATCAATCACAGTATAATTCTTCAGACAATTGTCTGATTGCTTGAATATGTTTTTCTTTCTACAATTCTATAAAGTTTTGATAGCCCTGCCCTTCAGGTCCACATTGTTCTAACTTTCACCACCTGCTATTCTTACTGACAGAGTAATTGTCTCATTTCAAGGCTATACATGGAATGCTCCTGTGTTTTTACTCCTCAACATAAAAATGTTCAGTGAGAATAGAGAGATGTTGAGTGAGAAACAACAACAGAAAGCACTACAGTTGCTAGAAATCAACAGTGAGAGCCAAATGGGCTGCAAGCGAAATGGATTGCGAGCCGATGGATAGTGAAATGGCGATGGATTGCGAGCGAAACGAAATGGGATTGCAAGCGAAATGGATTGCGGGCGAAATCGGATGGCATGTAAGGAATTGTATGTACAGAATTATATGGTTCTTAATTAGGTAAGGAATAATGTTTAATATTAAGTAGGAGGTTGGTTCTAGGAACAAGTCGCAGCAAAGGAGAGAGGAAGAAACTAGCTCGAAGCATCTCCCCTGGGTAAAATAGGGGGAAATAATATGTCACGTGGCACATTAGCAGCATGCTATTTACTGCGCCCGGAAAATTAGAAATTCCGGATGCTGGGTGACGAATTCTACCAAGCTGTAAGAATCTCTTTTGAAAACCTAAGCTATTCATCCCAAAGGCATTGTATGTAGTCAAAAGAGACGACACGAATAAGCTAGCTATATTAATCGTGTTGAGGCCACACTGCTGCAGGCATGAAACGCATAGCTTAGCTTTTCCCGTGTATTCGTCCGCCAATGGTGCTACTGTAGCGGCTACAAAGAGTGGAGGTGAGTTTCTCTCAGAGCCCAGACGCTGCGCTAGGCAAGGAATCATTGTTGGTGGAACTATCTAGACTAGCGCAATGATGTTACGCTGGTCATAATCTGTATTAGAAACTACTCAGCTATGAAACAGACTTGGCAAGGGCAGCTCTTCTGAAAGCAACAAGACCTAGCCATGCTCGGTCGAGGGAGCAAAGGGACTGTTATATAATTTCGATCCACCCTGGGCACACTGCGCTATCCATCCCCATGCTGGCCGAACAGCAGCGACGCCAGCCTTTTACAGGCACCACTGGGGCGAGAAGAACAGAATGCTGACTAATCTTGCTGGTGGCGGCATACATATATATTTAGCAATTATTACTGAATGGGTTTTCTGATGACATCACATGGTCAATAGAGTAGATCCTCCCTACACATTAGTACTGTAGCAATATGGGAATGGGGGGCCGAATGGATCGCGGGGAGAAATGCATAATCCATCATCATCGCCGTCACTGGCGAGGAGATGGAGATGTGAATGGCAGTGAAGATAGCGGGGAGATGAAGAGAGATGATTAATTGCAATTACCCTCGGGATTTGGCAATCGCTACACAAGCCCACCACCGTCAGTCCAAGATCTTGCAGGGTCTAAGGCGGGCTTGAGCCACTGAATCATGTGATGTCTCTAATCTGAATGAGACCTTACAGCAGGAGGTAATTTTTATGTTAGTAATTACAAAGATATTAGCAGATAGAAATTTTAATACATCTTTGAATTAGCTGAATCATAAAACATATCTAGTAATGAAAAATAATTATATTTAAATAGCACAAATGCTGATCAGTGAGTATTGCTGTGAAGATAAAGTAAAGAAATAGTAGTTATAAAACTGCTTGTTCTGAGGCTAAAAAGAATTATGCAGTAGTTTAACTAAGTAATCAACATGTGAATCTCTCAATTCTTTCACCTCTTTTCATCACTTATGAAGAGTTAATCATAAAATTTTCTATCTAGTAGCTCTTAATAACATCAGTGATAATCTGATAATATATTTCACAGATTGTATCAATGAGGAAAACACATTCTGAGCAATACTGATATTCATATAGAAGAGTTCTTCACTCTAATAAGATGATATAACAGATCTGATATTGACATTGATGCTTCAGCTCACAGACTTCAGTCTTAAGCTCACAGATTTCAGTCTCAAGCTCACTGACCTACTTATTCTTTCTAGTCATTTCTGCATGCAGGTGCTGTACTTCTTGTTTCAGTGCTTTTCTCTTCACATACTCTGTCTTGAAAATGTTATGAATTCTCTAGTTCACAGTTTTCTAGCTCAATATCAGCAAGAAAAAGAGTCTTATCATGAGTTATATAAGAAAGAGTCTTATCAAAACTGTATTCAAGTTGAGTATTTTATATTTTTTCAGTGACTGTCATATTTCAGAGAGCACTGAGTCATTAAATAGAGTCTTATACACTGAATAGCTGTAGTCTGTGTGAGATCTCTTTCTTCACAGCTTTCATATTGAAAACTAATATTCATTCATCTCTGCATCTGAACTGATGATGATGTTATAAAGCTCATCACGGGGACTATCAGCTAATGCCATGATTGAAAGATATGCTCTGAAAATGCAGCTCACTAGAAATGACTTGTGCTGTAAGAAGGTGATTCAGATATGAGACTGTGAGTAAACAAAGAAGAATGATGCAGAGTACTAGTGAGAGAAAATAAGTTCTTTTATATTCACTCAGTCATCTTCAAGTATGTAAAGGCCTCTTGACGGGTTTCAGTCTCATGGTGATATAGAATGAGAAGTGGAAAAGAAATTGAAAGAAAGATGAATTCAAGAAGAGAGAGAGCTTATATATATACTCAGAGCTGAGAAAGCAGTCACATGAGTTCAGGCTGTACTGTCTCATCTGTTGAGAGTCAATAAGCCTTCTCAAACATGTGCAGGGAAATAGTATCACATAGTTTTTACTGGCAGTCAACACTCTGAGACTCTAGAGAAAAGCTCTAGAACTGAATGAGCCTGCAATCTTCATAGAAGGCTGTTTGCTCTTTCACTTCAGAGGAAATTCTGTGACCAACTTCTCGCAGCAGTATCAAATTACTTCATGATTGTTATGTATATCTTCATACAGCAAGATGCTTCAGAATTGTTCTATCATCTTACAAGAGAATCTGAGAATTCAGTATCTTTTTGATCAGTTATCTAAGAAACACTTTTCACAGTCATATCTGTCTTAACAGACATATTAAGAT